GAAATGTAGCATGCGTTACGCAAAAACGTTGTGAAGACAATTTAATCGATTAAAACTGGATTTTATCTTAAATTGATGATGTAGTTGCAGAGTATATGTTTGATATCCACTAATTTATGTCCGTAACGTATTAGATTTGATGAGAAGGGATGATTACACCAACAAATACAAACTGATTGATGATGAGCTATTTTTATTTTTAGGTATACTCATGTCCTTAACGTGAATATTAACAATGAATGAATGTTAAAAAAATTCTAGGAATATTTATATGTAACAATATCAAAGTACCAAAAAGGTAAACATTATCTAGTATTAAGCCTTGAAAAGATTTTCAGACCGTAGAATGTATTGCAAGAAAATAGAGTTAGTGGTACTTGAAACCGCAAAATATTAGGTATACAAATTAATTTTTTGAAGTCTTAATATTTGAGATGGATAACCTGGCTGGCCACTCGTGTAGCCTAAAACCTATATATTATTTTAAATAAATAACGGATTTAATGATTTCTTACCTATTAACCCATCAGTCCCGCAAAAATAAAAAGCGATACACAACAAACAAAACAAACATCGCGTATAAAACGTCTTCAACATTTTTCCAAAATATCATCCTTCGCGGACATTTTCAACACAAGGACACACAAGTCTGAAAAATATAAGCGGCTTAGCAATATCGAATTAACTCATCGACATCTAAATCCAATTTACGTAACGCGAACGAGCGCGGAAACAGAGCGTTGATAACACACCCGTCTCTTTCAAGAGTTCGCGCGGGACTAAACATTTTAAACGCGAATATGAAAAATATTTTCGTAGCGAAATTCGTAGCGTGTAGCATTTGGAAAATCCGTAGCACATTGATCGTGCTTATTGAAGCTTTTCAGTTCTCAGAAATAAAATAAACAATTTATAAATATTTTGTGAAGTGTAAAACATTCCTCGTACGAGCAACGATACCTGCTACATATATGTGCAAGTAATTGTTTGTTCTTAGTTTATAATTTTTTTTAAAGAGATATGCATTTCAATATTTGTAGACAATACATCTTTATTAGAATTAAATTAATAAGTTTAAATTCATCTACATATTATTAATCTTAGATATCGGATGAATTAATCATCAGCTGTGACTGCATTGTATTGAAGCCGAGCGTGAGATTCTCAACCGAAGGTCGTATGTTCGATGCTCCTCTGCACCGCACAGTTGAAGAAATGTGAGGTCGAGAGTCAAGGCCCAGTAAGGGTTATAGCACTCCTGTATGAAGTGATCATTTAACATTAAGTTGAGAAATTTTATAGGTTTCACCGTTACATTGGTATTGTAATCAAAACGCTTGACCGCAAATTCGATGCCCAAATTTGCGTCAAATATCCTTCCCTATAGGGATCATCCAATTAACAGTATTGTCGTATTCGCAATGAATAATGACCTCACGTGTTACGTTACCTATATAACGACTTAAGTATTGCGTGGAACTGAATTACAAATAATTTATAGATATTTGGGTGGCCTTGAGTTGATTCTATATTTTTTTGAAATCATAACTTTTCGATAGTAAAATAAGTTCTAATCTAATCTAAAGAAAATGTTTAGTAATTTATGTAGTCACATTTATTCGCATTTGGAGGCATGTATATATGTATTTTTTTTAAATCTATTTCTCGATATATTTTCATATAGGTAACTTTTTGAGTTGCTCATAGCAGGGCTTCTCAGTAAAACTAGGACCGATATCAGATTTGTCACACAACTAACAAAGTACTGATTTCAATAAATTTTAACCTAAAAATTCTCTCTTCCCCCCCCCCCCCCCCCCCCCCCCCCCCCCCCCCCCCCCCCCCCCCCCCCCCCCCCCCCCCCCCCTCCCCCCCCCCCCCCCCCCCCCCCCCCCCCCAAAAAAAAAGGGGGTTAAAACCTCTCCCCCCCCCCCCCACCCAAACCCCCCCCCCCCCCCCCCCCCCCCCCCAAAAATTTTGGGGGGCCCCCACCCCCCCCCCCCCTTCCACCAAAACACCCCCCCCCCCCCCCCCCCCCCCCCAAAAAAAAAAAATTTTTTTCCCTTCCCTCCCCCCCCCTTTTCTCCCCCCCCCCCCCCCCGGGGGGGGGCCCCCACCCCCCCCCCCCCCCCCCCCCCCCCCCCCCCCCCCCCCCCCCCCCCCCCCCCCCCCCCCCCCCCCCCCCCCCCCCCCCCCCCCCCCCCCCCCCCCCCCCCCCCCCCCCCCCCCCCCCCCCCCCCCCCCCCCCCCCCCCCCCCCCCCCCCCCCCCCCCCCCCCCCCCCCCCCCCCCCCCCCCCCCCCCCCCCCCCCCCCCCCCCCCCCCCCCCCCCCCCCCCCCCCCCCCCCCCCCCCCCCCCCCCCCCCCCCCCCCCCCCCCCCCCCCCCCCCCCCCCCCCCCCCCAACCCCCCCCCCCCCCCCCCCCCCCCCCCCCCCCCCCCCCCCCCGCCCCCCCCCCCCCCCCCCCCCCCCCCCCCCCCCCCCCCCCCCCCCCCCCCCCCCCCCCCCCCCCCCCCCCCCCCCCCCCCCTTTTTCCCCCCTTTTCCTTCCCCCCCCCCTTTCCCCTCCCTCCTTTCCCTTTCTCCCCCCCCCTCTCTCTTTCTTTATTCCCTTCCCCCCCCCCCCCCCCCCCCCCCCCCCCCCCCCCCCCCCCCCCCCCCCCCCCCCCCCCCCCCCCCCCCCCCCCCCCCCCCCCCCCCCCCCCCCCCCCCCCCCCCCTCCCCCCCCCCCCCCCCCCCCCCCCCCCCCCCCCCCCCCCCCCCCCCCCCCCCCCCCCCCCCCCCCCCCCCCCCCCCCCCCCCCCCCCCCCCCCCCCCCCCCCCCCCCCCCCCCCCCCCCCCCCCTCTTTCCCCTTTCTTTTTTTTTTTTTTTTTTTTTTTTTTTTTTTTTTTTTTTATAATATTTTTTCAATAAAGAATGTCAGTCATTTTATATTTGTAGTAGTCATGTCGCCAACTTAAAAGTTACTACTTATAAAAACTTTAAATAACAATATTAAAAACGAATTTACATTAAAGACTCCGAAAGAACAGCTTTCGTTTTATGACACAAATTATCGCATCAACCAAGTAACAAACATAAGACAAGACTAAAATTACAATTATCTCTAATTAATAAAAACAGTAGCCTTCTATAAATACGGCTTCTTTTTAGTCTATTTAATTTGAAAACGTCGCTTTATAAAAGCCGATTATCGTCCACAATCGATGTCACGAATTACGGCTATTATTACTACGATGTAAAGGTTCTTAATACAACAATCACGTATCGAAAGGAAATATTATCAAAAATGCCGCAAAACATTAAGATTCTAAATTTAAACACAATCAAGAACGGTTGATGCATAATAATTTATTGATCCCTTGCTGCTTTCTCGGCCTTATGGGTGGACTGGACGTCCGCGTTAGTAACTATTACGATTTTTCTGTAAAAACTGGTAACCACGGTAAAATTACTTGAAACTGGCATAAAGTTAAAACTATTGCCATAACATTAAAAAAAGAAACACGGTAAAATTAGTCCTCGTTTTATAATAAGCGAGTTTATATTGTGACATAGCTGAGTATTTGTGGATTTAATAATAATTAAACTATCCAAACGACTAATTTACGAAGTCGATTATGATTTGAAAAAAAAAGGAAATTTATTTTAATATTTGTTTGCTTAACTAATAATGATGAATCATTTAAACTTTACTTTTGATAAAAAATTATTAATAATAAATTTATCGTATAAGTAGTCGTAGTAGTAGTAAGAGTAGTCTTAGTAAGTGTATAAAATAAAATAAACAATGCATTCAATAAACGTTTATTTTTTATATTCCTTAATTAATATACAAATAATAACTAAAATAACAATAATTAATTCATACACAAGACATTGTTTTATTTTACGCATTTGTCAAAAATTTAGGAATGGTAAAATACATTTTAATGGGCGATAAGAAAACATCCGAAGAAATATTTAGGTATTCTGTCAAATTTCAGGGAAAGTTAACATATAATTAGAATTTATTATGTATTTCTTGTGCATAAACTTATAAATTCACAATATTCTTAGTACAACAAGAGTAATACTTACATGTTTTACGACTTTACCAGTCATCATAATTTGAGACTTAATTAAATATTTAAAAAAGATGAAACACCATTTATAGTTTAACAAATAAATAGTATATTTTATCCCGAAAATCAACTTAGTATTCCCAAAATGGAATTTTAAATAATTATTACTCAATTTACTTTGTTATGGTAATTTCATGGCCGGCGTAAATGAGTGGATAAGTCGAATATTAAATAAAAAAATATAGAATGGAATTTTACAACTTTTGTGTAAATACTCCAGTGAGCAATGATTAGGAACTAGCTATAGCTATGGTGGAATTTTCCATATTTTGTTCATTTAGAGTTGTCTTGACTTATTCACGTCAAGTAAAGAATTAATGAGATAGAATAACTAAAACATGTTAAAGTAATATTATTCCTGTTTAGTTTATTTTTTGTATTTAATTAATACATCGGGATTAAAACTTATTATTTTTATTTCAGTTTTAATCCAGTGTTTTAAATTATATTTGCGTAAATTAAAGGTTTATTATGTTATTTGTTTCAATTTTTTAAAGCATTTTACATTTTCCTTATAATAAATAATATTAGTTCAATACACCAGAATTAGTTGGGTCACATTTTCCATATATAAAAAAAGAGGGTAATTATCACCAAGATTACTTTTATCTACATGTTATGTAAACCTTAATGCAACGCCAATACAATTAACGAGAATTAAACGTACTGGAACAATCTTACTCAATGATTGTTGTGTAGTCTATGAATAAATATGACAGCTGTCAGATTCTCGATATTATTTATGGTATTATCATGCTTTCATGCTGTTTACTGTGCGCACTTGAATTCTCCAAAGACAATAAGGTACATTTAAAAATTGCATTCTAAATATAGAAATGCAGAATAAATTTCAGACATCGACAAACCTTTTTCATAATTACATTTGCGGAAGGAATTCAATTGGTGTTGCGAATTTGAAGTCATCTGGGAATAATTTACTTGCGTAAGGATACATAAGTTTGTAAGACTGTCTTATAGTTACGTCTGCCACACCAGCTATGTCGCCGATTTCTTTTTGGCTGCGCTTGTCTTCAGATGCCTGAAAAACACATTGTACAACAAACTAATAGATTTTTCTTTATTAGCTTGTAACGAAAAGGAAACATTTCTTAAATTAATGAGAATATTATATGTGTGTCAGCTGACCAGGTACTTGCCAAGTAAAACCCTCAAAAATACATAACAAATGAAACAGTAATCTGAGCATATTGTAGCGACATATGTGTGTTAATTTGTGTTGTTTTTTTTTTATAGTTCCTATGGGTAATATGTATTTCAAATAGAATATCATACATAAACCCATGTTGTTTGTATTCATGTATACTTTAATGTTATCTATGAACATTTTTTTTTTTCAATCTATCAAATCTATGTCTATAATCTATATATCTAACAAATCTATGAACATAAGCAGTTTAATAATAAACTAGAATATTGGTCAACTTGTTTATCATATCCCAAGAATTGGGAAAATATTTGTCTTTTCAGGCTTAAATCTTCTAGATCATTATAAGTTACACACTGAAAAATATATTTGTATATATTTGCAATATATTCACAATTATGGAGTTCCTTACCTGTGACGCCATATAAATTGCAGCAGCAGCCACGGATATAGGACTTCTTCCAGACACAATATCCAGTTCGCCAGCTTTCCTCGCAATATGTGTGGCCGCTCGTTGAACAGAATTTGGTAGTCCAAGGTTGGAACAGAAACGAGACATGAAATCGGCTGTTGTAATAAGATCCACAGATGTCTCTAGCGCCTTCAATATCAATTTGAAGCATCGCCCAATTTCTTTTTTGCTGATTTTGCTGACTGCACATATTTCCTTGAATGTACGAGGCACTCCCTCTTGTCGACATGCTATATAGAGGCAAGCAGATGCTATTGCATCATTTGCTCTGCCTTTCAAGTTTTTACCGTCATGTACCTGGAATATTTATATTTATTCATTATGCAATGCTAAAAATAATTATATAAATTTTAGTGAATATATAATAACTTGGCTGAAGAAGCTTGGTAATAAAGGTTTGTATTGATTAATAATATTGTAAATGAAATTGCTAAATTCTATAATCACCATACCATAACTTACCATTTAATACAAATAATGTATTAAATAATCTTACCTTATACCACAGATATACTGTAAATTTGCATACTTATCAGCATGCACATAAATAGGGGTTAAATATAATGATCACCATAAAATGCTTTGATACCCTTAGTTCTTTTACCAAAATTTACTTAACACCAATAAATAACGTCTAAAATTACAATAGTACTAGCTATTTTAGTCACGACTGCACTTCAAATTGTTTCGAACACAAATGTAGTAAATATCACCAATCTTAGCGAGCATTATGCGCTATTTCTGCCTAATAAACACTTGATTGAAAATGTAGGCTTATTACCAAATGAAGCATTATGATGCCATATTAAGTTATGTCTGCGGCTACGATCCTCTCCCACCACCGCAACGCCGCGCACGCCCGACGCGCCAATTTAGTCGCGTGCGAGCACTGCTTGGGTGTGTTTTGGTATCTATCTTCTTGCTGGCGAATGAAAACTAGCGGGACCGAGTTCGTTGCTCCGCTGTGAGTACTTCATCGGAATCAGATGAAGACGAATTAAAACACAGCATACGAAAAAAGTCGAAGGCAAAATAAATTTGGGTTTTGAAAGAAAATTTATAATTCAGCTGAGAATATCAAAAATAGAAGACCTGGTCAATACAAAAATTCATACGACTGAAGAAGGAGTAAAACGTTACTATCGTTGTAACAAAGTGAAGCTTCGGGCTGAAATTCAGTGTTCTGCGATTCTTTTATTTGAGTCGTGTGATATTATTATTATTTCGTACTGAAACATGTCACGACCATGAAAATTCTGACTGTCAGTCGACTAGGGATAAATGAGGCAACGAAAAAGGAAATAGAAAAACTATTCGAACCGTTTGAAACCAAATCTATTATGAAGAACTTAAGTAAAATTAATGGACTAGTTCTGCCGACTAAGTTACAGTTAAACAATTATCTTAAAATCATACGTAAGAAAAATACGGGCCATCGGTAAAAGCTTGGGACAGCTTGAATTATGGTTAAAAGAAAACTCTGAAATACCTGATGACGGTCACGAAGTTTTGTTTTGGCGTATGAAATTTCTGAAGATGATTTAGATCAGAACTTCCGGTTCATGTTAACGACGAAAATTAATTGGTCTATCACGCCAATGTTCTGTTCTTCACGCGGATGCCACATATAAGCTCATTTGGCAAGGGTTTCCAGTACTTGTGATTGGAACACGACAGAGATAAACATTTTCACCCATTGGATTAGCTGTGACAACAGCTGAACGAACGGAAGACTTCATATTTTTATTTTCCGCATTAAAAAAGCAGTTTTCTCAATATTTTCATACACTTTAAGTTGTAAAGTTTTGGTCTGTGATCACGAGCTTACAAACTGCCTTTGCGTGCACATTGGAACAGTACAGTCATAAGAATGTGCTGGCCATGCGAAAAAGAAGATGCAAACAAGAGTAGAGCAAAGTGTGCAAAAGAAATCCCAAAAAAGATCTTACAAGATATTGATGCTTTACAGTGTGCCTCAACTCAGGAAATATTTGATCGAGCCAGCGAAAAATTTTTGGACAAGTGGAAAGCCGAAAAAGATTTTGTTACATACTTTGAAAATGAATGGCTAATACTAAATCGTTTCTGGTTTGGGCGCATCTCTGGGGACTCCTGCTACAAACAATGCTCTGGAATCTTTCAATAAACAATAAAAGATGGTGGCACGCTTCTGACGTCATCCTTTGGCGCGGTTCTTAGTAATTGCTTCTGATATAGTCAAGGACTGGTCAATGAAACGTGATAATAATACTGAGAGACGGTTCGCTCAACTGCCGACTTCAAAGATGTGGACAGAAAGTTACCAATGGGCAAAACTGTCGAAGCAGGTGCCATTAAAGAATAGTACTGAGCTAGTTTGCTCATACAGAATTCAGCTGGGTCGGATTTAGATTGCAAAAATTATGAAAAGCCATGGGAGACCTTTGACAAAGCAACATTTTAGAGAGTGGGAAGTTATAATGCCAGAAAGGAAAATTGGTTACACGGCACATGCAATTGCCCAAAGTTTCTCAAAGATTACATTGCAAGCTCTCGTTGGATTGACGATTCGGCTTAAGCACGTCCAGCCACCTTCAGAGCCAAGCTATTCCGATTGGCATGAAGCGCAAAAGAGGACGACCAGCCAAAGCTAAGAAAGCATTAATTGTGCAGTGAATTAATACAGAAGACTGATTCTTCTTAAGATTTTTTAAATGCTTATTATTAGTTTAGTTTTAAGATCTTTGAACTGTTTATTATTAGTTTTAAGAGGACTATCTTTTTAATGATTGTTTCAATAATTAAAAAGGGATTATTGAAATTGTAAGAGTTTTATTTTTATTTTAGGTTAGCATTTGGTTGTAAACGAAACGCTCAAGATAATTTTTTTTTGTAGTGGTTAATCAATTTGGAGACAAAAGGTTAGGAGTAAATTTACTTTACTGTGTTTGGCAAAATTATTTTTTTGCCGAGGAGTAATTTACTTTAATCGGAAACGAGATTTTATTTTTTTGCATTTCATTTTAAATTAAAATATGGTTAATAATTTGGTTTTCATTAACTATTTTTGGGCTAACAATGAGTTTTTGGAGCCAGTTTGCTTAAATAGGATAGCAAGATGTAAAAACTTTGGTTATAATTTTACATTAAAATGCTGTTTTAATTTTGGCGATCATTTACTACTTTTGGGTTAACAATGATTATTGGAGTCATTTTGCTAAATAGGATAGCGAGATGTTAAAACTTAGGTTGTAATTTTACATTAAAATGCGGGTTTAATTTTGGTAATCATTTACTTTTGTCTGTTATATGTTACTATACCTGGTGGTAAGTTAAACATGCACATAAATAATATGCATCTTTAAATAGTTCTGTTCTGTGCCAGCATAAACAACAAATCATTTGAGTTACACAAAACAAAAAGGATGAAAATGTATACAATATTGGTGATTTTGTCATTTCAGATATATTATCAGCATAAAAATTTGTTCTTTCCTGGGAATTGAACTTAGACAAGAAGTAATTTATTATTATGATTGACATTTCCTTCATCGTGTACATTACTGTAGCTAGAGATTAAAAGCGAAACACATAAAGGCCACTCAAATAGAAGAGAAAAAATTAAATAAGAAAATTGTTATCCACTATTAGTTTAAAAGAGAGATTTTTGAGTGATTTACCTGTTTAAACAAATTGTTTGCTCTGTCAACAATAGTCTTTGGCAAGTTTATCCGATCTGCCATAGTATTTATTTCTCTAAAGGCATTTATCAATGCTCTGTCCGTACTGCTAATGTTCCTTCTGTTTTGATACTTTGACACTCCAAAACTGTCAAATGAAGCATCGCCCCGGCCAGGACCAATTATCGTAGATAAATCACCCCCAGAAAGAAGTGGATTTTCAGGCCCACCAACACGAGATGGATCAACACCTGATTTTTCATTGCTGAATGTACGCCATTCTGAACCCACATCTATAACTCTAAAAACGATAAGAAACGATGTAAATTAATAGGAGACCACTCCGTCACAGTGATTACAGAGTAAAACCTTAATGGTATAAAATTTGTTAGCGGTAAAATGACCTACAGGCAGTTTGATTATAAATTATTGATTTGTTCAAGGCATTTTTCATGTTATTTACCTGTCACCAACGACGAGACCGCATTCAGAGCATATCATGTCACCCGCTCGATAATCCTCAATAAGCGGAGCATCTGGATGAGCATAACACACCACCTTATTTGCCTCGATTCTAAAACCACAAAGGAAAGCTAGTAAGTCCTAACTTAGTTTCAACATCGAAAGACCACGTCCCGCTTTCGCAACACACAATTTCACAATCCTCAAATATTATATCAAACTTACACAAAATTACATTGTACATAATCAATTACCAGTGTTATTATACAATTTAAATTATATATTACAAAATAAATAAAGAAAACAGAGAAACAGACCTCGACGTGCTCGCCATGATTGTCAAGACTCAAGCTGTTACCAAAGACAATTCATTATTTCTCTCTCTTGACTTGGGAGTTGGGACAATTGCCAGTGATAAAAATAAATGAATACTCATAGATGTTGTTATTGTTTGGAATACACAGACTAGTCAAGCAACTAACAAGATATATAATATAATATAATAATATATTTAATACACATTGTCCAGTGAATGACGTTAAATTAAATAAATAATACCAGAAAAACTTTGCTGCTAGGTCAGTTTTAAAAGTATGTTAGTTTAATGTGGCAGAAACTGAAGAAAAAATTATACCATTAGAAATTTATGTAAATTCTTTATTTATGATTAATTTATTATTGTAATGTAATTGTTATATTAAATTGTATGGTAATGTATTACTTTGCAATAAACACAATTACACAACTCATCTTTAATATGACGCTTCAACATCTTACATGATTGCCGCTATAATTGGCGACTAGATGGCGCTTGAAAGTAATTGTACTAAAAAATTATTTTTGACTAAGTCAAGTCTTGTCTTGTTTCGAGCACTAATTTTCACTTATTTTTAATTGCATGTAATTTCACATGTAAATAAAATATTTTACTTATTTATTAAAATCATCCCACGGTATTTTAACGTATTTATATAATGCACTATATGTGTAGTTGCGGGATGAATCACTTTCATTTTTTCATTTGCCAATACAGATACTAGTTTATGAAAAATTCTATAAAAATTTGGTTTTGACATTTGAAGAAATTGGTTTATTGGTTTATGCTGAGTTAAGTTTTGTGGGGTATGCGGGTGCAGTATTGTGGCACAATCGCAATATGTTGATTGAGGTAATGAAGGGTAATTTTCCTTTACATTTTTGACCCTCTTTCCAAAAATATATGGATAAGCCATATTTTTTAAGGAGTTATTTACATCGTAATAATAATTGATCATAGGAACATGTACCACGTCAAGAGCATTGACGTCATGGCTGTTTTGTCTACTATTTAATTGCCAGAAATATTTTTGTGTGCACCCTCCCACTTGAATGCAATTGTTACATCTTTATTATGTAAGTGCAAGACAAAATCTTTAAGAAAAAAAATAACAAAATTAGTTTTAGGTCTGTATTTATAGACGTCAATCAGAACAAAGGTTACCTGGATTACATTTGAATTTCGAATCAGTGATGCCAACTCCGACACAATGTGGGGAACATACCTCAACTATTAGAAGTAGGTCCTAGGTCCTAATCGGTTTGAGAAGTAAATTTAAATATGCATATAATTTAAATCTTGGATTAATATATAGCTTATTGATATTTCAGATATAGCCACGCTTAGAGTTTATATTGGTTGAGTTCGTTGGCTGGGTTCGGGACTTTATATAAATTGTATAGAATCGGAAGTATTTTTAAGAAAACAATGTTTAAATGAAGTACCAATTTAAAATCCCCCTAAACAAATTAGTTCTATTTCGCGTATTATATTGGGGAATCCATTTGTTTTAAAATCGTTTATATTTTTTTGTACATACAACAAGGCTTCAAGAATATATTGTCCAGATAGGGTCATTTTTTTAATTCCTTAAACTTATTTCATTTCTTAGTTCGTTCCCAAATTCCTCCGAAACGGCTCCACCGATTCTTATGAAATTTTTTGTGCATATTCAGTAAGTCTGAGAATCGGCTACTATTTATCAAACCCCGCAGTGATAAGGGATGTCCACCCCAATTTTTTTTATAGAATTTTTTTTTGTTTTTATTTTTTTATTATACAACATACTAAAATACATACAACGCCTAATTTTCACCCCTCTACGATTAACGATTAACCTTATGTCGATAGTAATTTTTATTGAACTAAAAAAATGTTTCCTAGAAATCATATACATGGCAAAACAAACGTTTGCCGAGTCAGCTAGTAATTGTATGTACATAGGACCGCATCCGTTTTTTTTATTTTATTTTATGAATTTGCAAAAGCGCTATCTATTAAAAAGTTAGTAAATCGTGAAGTCTTAAATCACACATTTCAATGTGCACACAAATATATTATAAAGTTGTGTTTTAAGACTACAAGAGGGCAGCTATCAAGAAAATCAAGCAAAAGTATAAATTTAAATCTATAAACATCCTTCCTCCATCATTCCATATATTATACAATCTGTTCATTGTTTTACTATTATTCATGCTTTAATTACATCATTTGTGAAGTTTAAGTAACTAATATGAACGTTAAAGGATTGAAAAAATCTGTTTTTCATACAATTAATACATATCTGCAACTGCATACAAATCTGCAACATGCGGGCCATAGACGGACCGCATGTTGCAGTTAAGACCGACTGCAACATGCGGTTTGCTCAGGAACTGCTCGAGCGGTCCGTGTATGGCGAATATGAATTTAGTATGGAAACTGCAGATCGCTGTGCGGCGACCGCATGTTGCAGTCGCTCTAGACTGCAACATGCGGTCCGTCTATGGCCCGCTTAAGTCTACTAGGTAGTCTACTATTACTATACAATTGACAAGTAATTTTAATGGAATTTCTTGACGTATAAACCAATTACACGATTACTTTGAAACTGACTCGAGAGTGTAGACTTTAGATTAACACATTAGTCATTTCCAATGTTTATGAAGATATCACGTACGCGGAACCTGAAATGAGGAAGACGCAGTGCACACATTATTATGAGAACAAAAGTACGGTGTTTCGCAATAGTCAGTAGGTATGGTATTACTAATAAAAAAAACTAATTACTAACTTTGTTATAGATTTAGTCTCCTATAATAAATTTTGTCTAAAAATATTATGAAAAAAAACAGTGTTTCGCAATAGTGTATGTACTTCGATAGTATTATCAATGAGCATAGAACGGTTTAAAACTGTAATTAATTTAAAAAAAATAACCTTGAAGATGATAAGAAGGTGAAGGCAGGAAGAAGAACCCGTACCTACTTGGTTCTATATCAAAATACAAGTCTTAATAGCAACTACTGTAAATTATTCAATACCTAAAAAGTACATTTTCCTTTCATTATTCTCTTTTAATTGTGTTTATGTGAAAATAGAAGCCTTTGTTTAGTTAATACATTGATGAAGAGCTAAAGATAAGTTCATCTTCTGTTCTAAACTTTATTTTTTTTATTTATTTCCTTGTACCGTGGGCCTGAACAACCTTTTTGCATTTAATAAAATGAAAAATCTATTAAATGAAATCAGAAGTTGTTTAAGTATAGATAGGTTTTGGATCGCCTTTTTTTAAATAAGCGTTTGATTTTACTTTAATCAAACGAATTTAAACCCGCGAGTCAGTTAATCGTAAATCATGTTAGTTTATAAAACGTTTGATTATTGACCTACTGACCCCGTTTTAATTCAACGTTTAAGGTATGTGCTCTGATTAGGTAATAATTAAATGCTTAAGTAATTTGCAAATATTGCTAAACTCGTGGTTTTACACTATTATTACAATAACTTGAAATATTATGACCGAGTCATCTGCTACAATTATTTCAAAATATTGGTTATAAGCGAATATATTGGTCACCACAAATAATTAATATTTGTAATTATTGTGAAACAACGCAATAAACGTCTAAATTGTGTGATACTAATGACTTACATTTTACTACTTTACGTATATTATATGAAGCATACTTGAGAAATATATATTTATCATAATTAACTTTAAAAAAATTAAAACTTTAAAAAAACGAGGTAACCTTTTTTTAGATTATGATTACGATTCCTATGTTTATTAGCTTGTATTACGAGTGACTGTTGGTATAAAAATTTAAAAAATGTGTTTAGGTATTCTGATTTGTATGATAGCAGTGAAAAACTTTTTGTATTTTGTATTTCAACATCGCAGTTTTAAACTTTTAACTTGTACATATATAAAATGAATAATTAACCGTGGTTACATCAGCTTTTAGATCAGACAATAATTCTAAACACATAAACAATAAACTGTTGAAATGTTGCGCAAAAATAAACTGCTAGTATAAAACATTGTAGAGTGACTGGTAATTTTAACTTTAAATTTATTCTGTCATTGAGCTTTTAGAACATTTTAGCAAAGTAAATAGTGAACGATTAAATTTACGGCAATTTAAACAAGTTAACATTGGTGCTAACACGGAGTCCAAATAAATTTAACAGACTCCTCTCTCTCTAATTGAAAACGCACCTTGTTCGCCTTGGATCCAGTTGATTTATGGATTGTAGAAAAAAAATAACAAAAAGTGTCATTTTGTTTAAATTTAACACTTCGTTAGGTTGGAATCGATCAGATAAATAAGATTAAATAGCAATGGGGGTTCTTACCGCCAATAAGCGATCTCTTTCAGGTAAAGAAAGTAAGGATATATAGTTGATAGGCGGGAGCAATAAAATTTTAAAAAATCAGTGGCGCTACAACTCTTTTAGGTCTTGGCCTCACATTTCTGAATCTGTTTCATGCTCATTTTTAAATATAATAGGCAAGTAGGTGATCAGCCTCCAATGCCTGACACACGCCGTCGACATTTTGGGTCTAAGACATGTCGGTTTCCTCACGATGTTTTCCTTCACCGTTGGAGCTAAATGCTCACATAGAAAGAAAGTCCATTGGTGCACAGCCGGGGACCGACGCTGAAGCCACTAGGCCAACACTGCTCTATAAGAGCAATAAAATTATTAGTAATAAAAATATAGTAAAATTCGTGATATTATATTAATATTATACTTCCATTGTTTTATACTTCTTTTTATGTAGGTACATATCTGTCGTGGTCAAATCATACAATCAAGTACAATTTCTAATTTCATGAAATGGTTTTCGTTTCGTGTAAAGGCCACGTCAATAATTAATAATCATGAAGCTATTATTATATATGCTCTCATATATGTACTATAATGACCGTCATATAAATAAATAATAGGCGTTGTAAACATCCACCCATTGTCGAACATCAAAAGAATAAAAGTGATAATTGCATGTTATGGAAATTGGAAAACTCATCAATCTCAACTGTTTCACATCATAAGAATGCAGGACGAAACAAAGAATTCGATGCATCACCTCAATAATGATGAGTCAGCAGTGCAAGGAAGTTTACAGTTATCTATGAAAATGCGGAAGGAATATCCATTGATTTAGTCACGAAAATTTATGTCTTTCGCAATATTGTAATTATCAGAAGTAATAAATTAATTAAACGGCAAAATTTATTTGATACCAATTAAATATTCTTATTATTTAAAGCTTTTACTTTTTAAGGGATTATTTTATTTTAAAAGTAAAGTTAAATGGAAAATTGTTCAGTCGCCCTATTACTAATTTTATTTTTATAAAATACATAGTTTATAAAAGGGAGTGAAAATATATTATATAGGTAGTCGAACAAATTTGCAACCATTTACCATGGATAAATATTATGTTGTTCACGCACACAAATTCAAAATTATGGTCACTACGAATGTACGTTATATCCCAACCAATGAGAAAACATTGTTATAAATAATATTAAAACGTATAAAACTGTATTACATTATTTTTAATTTCTGAAATATTCTAATTTATAAACCTTAATTTATAACTTTTGTTCTATATTTTTTTTTGTCTTGTAATGCCAGAAATATGCAAACTAAAATTATCTTATATAATAATAATGACACTTTATTTACATCACAATAAATTATACAGGAGAAAAATAAGATTAAATAAATGAAGATAGAGTATGTAAAAGGGCGGTTATCGATAGTATAAAATTTAAATATGCTATGTTTTATATACAATATCTACTTCGTTGTATAAGGAATTTTGGCCAGCGTGTAAATAAAAGGACCTAATATTGTTAACTTGTCGCTAAATCAAAATTACTCTCAATGCAGAAATAAACTTTTATTTATCTTAATTAAAATAATTTTCTAATTTATTTTTATTAGATAGAAATTAATAATATTTGATTTAACTGCTTTTCGTTTATTTAATTTATTGATCGTTGTTAGATTTGATCGATAGATGCCATAGGTAGGCCCGGGGTATTAATTTTTTTTAATGAATATAAGTTCGCTGGTGTAGTGAGTTCACGCCACGCGGAGTAAAAAAATGTATTCGAATTACCTTAAATTAATCGGCCTTAATGTCTAGTCTTCTATAAGAAAGTAGTCATCAATTCATAATCAAAGCCTTGACACTGACTCACATACTAACTTCCTGTTTCCTGTAAAAATCGTGGTTTGACTAAAAAAGTGGCGCCATGAGTCATAGATACGTTTTATGAAAGTGTTTACACATTTAAAAAAGGCCTGCTATAACGTATTTTGTAGTATTCATGACATTTAAAACTGGAATCAACTAATTTATTCATTAGTTTGCACATTTTCGAGGCTGCGGCAACTATAACAGACGCCAAAATCTATGTTTTTTCAAGCCTACGTTTATGTTTAATGATTATTAAAATTTCCTTTCGATTGCTATTATATAAAAATGTAAAAGCTAATGCTTAAATTACTTGATTTTCGAGAAAATTTAAAAACCTGACACCTCGTCACCTAACATTCATAAACAAAATACAAAATTAGCTATCTTTAGTTTTAAATGTTTACCTTCTGACTCAAAGATAAGGTGAGTCAGACATTTTGATAAACAGAATCAGATGTGAAAATCGATGGCATAAAGTATTTAGCTAATACGGTGTAGGAGTTAGGGAAGTACCGCAAAGGATAGAAATATCATTACATAATAGGCAAATAACATAGGAATATTGGTGGTAGCGAATCACACTTGCCGTAAAATATTCCTGTCTTTGAACACTAGGGTACTGCTATGTTCCAATATAGTCATTTTTAAACACTGCTATTACCACGGGGAATGGGGGAAACCCTTGAATGAGGCATGGGGTTATGGAAATGAGGCTGCTTCGCTGATTACGTATATATTAGGTATGAGAAATTCATTTTGTCTGCTTTCATTTCCATTGGCTGGGAATGATATAACCGAGAAGGAAGTAGTAAATAGGGAATATTGCATTAAAATTAATTATATAGTAGTAAATAGGGAAGTAGTATATATAGAAGAAGTAGGGAAATACGGGGCATTAAAAATATATATAATAACTTTTACAATACTCATAAAATCTCATATATATTAAAATATATTTTCCTTCTTCCTTCTCAAACAGAATCGTTACAATTCAAGCTACTTGTTTAAGTAGTACTTCTACCTACTTACATCATTTTCTTGACTAAAATTATAAAGATGAAAGATTTGATTGTTTCTCTGTCTCCATTGAACAGGCTGAAAATCTCGATCGATTTAAAAAAAATATTTCACCTACTAGAAACTACTAGATTCATATGAAAACTTCGATAATGTAACCCAACCTGTGAAAATGTACAAATACAAATCCCTATTTCAGCTACGTTGCTGAAACTATTGACAATAGAGCAAAGTGATGTACCTGTAATAGTTTTATAGAAGACATATATGTACTTTTTTTTTTTTTTTTTTATTTATTTATTAGCCGGATACATATATGTACTAAATAGTCCATCATACCATATTTAAAAAAAAAAAAGTCATAGGCTTACAGAAAGGTTTTTGGCTAAATAACATTAAAAGACCGAATAAATGCAAGTAGAACCACAGAGCACAGCTAGTACTTTATATAATAGGCTTTATATCATAAATAAATGTAAATATTAGTCTGACGCTCGACTTTATAGTATTAGATAACGATAAAGAAAACAAAATGTTAAATTGACGAAAACAAGGACGTCTTTGTTCCTTATGGCAAGTATCAAGATTCGTTTATTCTAACAATAAAACTTAAATGCGTAAATAAAATTTCGTATATAATATGTTATTACTTTAAATGCATAATGTTATTAAGGAGTTTCTTTCTCTGTTACAAGTACGATGAAAATGAAGGCGCCAAGGTTACTTCTATGAACCCTAGACCTCGTGACTACCACGTCACTTGGTGACTGGCTTCAGGATCCTTGCTGCTGGTCTTCTTGCACAATTTTGAAAAATTATTGCGCAATGAATGTTATTATGTGATAGTCTGTACAATATGTATTAGTTTCGTTCTTACTGTATACAGGGGCGGTTTATCAATTTCACCGATTTCAGAGTGTTTTTGGTGAGTTATTTTATATATAGACTGGTTAAATCCGTTAAATGAGTTAATAGACTTACAATATACATAAAATGGAAAGTTTTTTTTTAATATTTCAATAAAGCTGATTGAAATAAAATATTATTGCGTAAGATTTTATGAAACGCCTAATAAATCGCTAAATTCAAACAAAGGTTGGTTTCATCACTTAGTTATAAAAATTATATTTTTGGATTGTTGGCATCCCGAAACGTCTGATCACATGAAAAAATGAACAAAAAGATATCAGCAGCTATATTACTAAAACTTATTTATTCAGCTTGTTTTTTGTCAAAATACTTATATGTATTAAAATATTGCGTTATTTTCTTCTAGCGAAATACCTTACTATTTATTCCCCGTTGTTCATTTTTTTGTCGTGCAGGGTACTAATTGGTAGGTATTATGGTGTAAAAAGGTAAACAATTAATTATTGTTCCGAAGAAGATTTTATATCTCTTCCTTACATGGTATATGTCATAGATACCATTAATGACCAAAGAGGTCAATTGTGGCTTTGAACTTGATAGATGCTGGCTGGTTTACACTCTTTTCATTTTGCATTATGTTTGAAATAAGAAGTCTATGGCAATTATTTTATTGGCGCGAACTATCTTTTGTTTAAAGTTTATAATTAGCTAAAATAACGTGTAGAAGTAACGTGTGTGTCCTAACTAAGAAAATATATTATGTTTATGGTAACATCAATGTTTACTCATTTACAACATTCCACTATCCTGTGTCCTGAGTCCTGACGAACTGATGGTATGTTTTTTAAATTAATAAGTCAGCTACTAAGAGTAAATTGAAACTTACCTACTTGGTTATTTTTTCATATGAACTTACATTTGGTTATATTACTTAATTTTCCTAGTCAGGCGATAGATACAATAAATTAAAATGACTGTGGACAGTTATTTTTTAATGAACAATACAATCTAGTTTTCCTATGCAGAATTTGAATCATGCACTACCTACACTTTCATATTCCCAAATCTGTACCCCGAAAACTAATAAATATTGTATACCTATGACTTGTAAAAGAGTAATATTAATTATATTAATACTTCAGTACATATTTTGAGATTCGTATGGTATATTATTGCACAATGTATTTTTACCTTCAAATATATTAAGACCTTTTGTATCTTTAAGGATTCTCTTATTTTAACTTGATATTGTGAAAATTTTATTGAAACAACGTAAGCCCACGACATCATTTGTATTGCCAAACCTAAATGAATGGTGTCATTCTATCTCTCTCTAAACATAAATTGCTTTTCCGCGTTAAAAAGAGACAGATAGATCTTATTATTGTTGCTACAAACCGCATGGCGTATGATCGCGTACTACGCAAGTTGACGGTGTGTCGACATTGGACGTTGGATCGGCTGTCGGCCCGAGGCGCCGACCGAACACTCGTTCGGGTCAGCATTGCCTTCGTCGAAATCTCGCAGTCAGTCTCGCAATGGCGTTAGTGGGAGAAGGTTGTGTGTTCATTTAGTTTGACACAAACCCGAGCGGACACCGGCCCAAAATATTGGCCTGTCTATACGTGCTCGAATTACCTGAAAATATTTCATGTGATTTCGCGAAGATAAAAGGAAAATTACGACTACGGACAGTCAAATTTTGGTACGATATCCACTCAGGGCTAATCATTTCAAGGTTCGTACATTCGTACCATATTTGTAAATCGTAATATAATTTAGCCTCTTGTCTCAATCGCGTGACCGTGATCTAATCGAAGTTTCTCTCTTTGCAGATCATGTTCATCTCATCATAGTTCCTCTTCGTTTTAAGTGTTTTTGTGTATTAAGTGTTGTGACAGTGACAGTGTTTTAAAGTGTAAGTGATGGATCCTGGATCGCCTTCAACGTTGTGGCCACTGCGACTAAGCAAGCCTGCCATAACCGTGCCTGTTCCTGAAAATGGGGAGAATAGTAAGGCAGAGGATAGGGCGCAGTCCCCGGCTCTTACGGACCGGTTGTCGGCGTCGCCCTCTAGCCCTTCGCCCCCCAGTCCAGCACCACCCCAACACCAGTTTCAAGCAGCGCTGGTCGCTGAGAAGTACCTACTTCTAGAACAAGTGGAAGGCTCATCACTGTGTAGATGTGTGGACGTGCGCACACAAGAGGAATATGTTTGCAAAGTAAGTTATATACCTACTTGTTATAAATATATGAAAATCAAAAACCTGTTAGACTGCGTCGGGTGCACAATATAAAATTGGTAGTGCAAACAACTACCTGCTCTCGTGACTATAAACACAATTTTATTTAAAATTGTTGTTTGAATAATAGACATAAGAGTCCAGTAGTTTTATTATAAATAAAACTACTTGTAAATAATATTTTACTATTGAATATGTATATAGTAATGCTATGTTACAAATATAGCTAAGAAGTTCCAAATAATAGAAGTTAAACCTACCCAAATTCGTGTTCCCTGTGATAATTAATAAATGTCAAAACTAAAAACAGTCATGAGCATGACTTTCGACCTACCTACATAACGTTTTATGTCGAAATTATGTCGACTTACAAAAGTTGTTGCGTAGCGATGGATACTCTGTGTAATTTCTTGTCTTACTATTTACAAATTGGTCAATTTAAGGCGGTCAATAATAATAAATAGATAATTATGTGAATCGACACTGAAGTCATATCCGGTAGATCTAAAAGGGTTCAAATTTGTCCCACGGGATCGAAACCCCGTGAAGATAAGGGTTTATGCCCACATGCAGTGTCCCTTTATTGCGATTTTATAATTATTTTACTTAAAGTTGTTAATTTTACTTTCTATTTCACTCGATAAATGATTCTCCCTATTGAGAACCCGCTTACCAGTCTTTGTGTTAATTCAATACCTGCCAATAGACAAATGTTTCTAAAACTTGGGAAATCAAACTATGGTTTATCAAATATTTCCAATCCAACGATTGCAATGAAGACATGAGCTAATAACAAAGATTAAATTCAAAATCGATCATTGAATTGCAAATTCTTTCATGCGTTCGCGCAAAACTGTTCACAGTTGAAACATCGGTGTCATACTTTATATGTCAGGGCCCCGTGCTGCTTGATCGCTCTTGTAGGCCACAATGTTTTTACAATGTCATGTATCTACTTTTGCAATACTCATCATAACTGTTAATTCCTTGCCTGTTGATGCGTCATTAGACGATGACGTCAGTTTAATATCTTTCCTTTAAGTAAATCAGTACAGTTTTTAAATATCAGCTTAAAACGAGTTTTGAAAACTAGTTTCCCGTTTAGCTAGCTATAAAATTAGCTATAGGTTAGATACATAGTAACAAAGGCCCATACAGGTATTGTCAAGGCACAGAATAGGCACTTCCCTCGTGAGAATCTAGCAAGGTTAAGTGAGGCAACGTTATCGTTGCTAAACGCTCTTTACAACACAGCCTGTTACTGACACCGCATTTGCTATACGAAACTTATAAACTGTTTTTCGTAATTGTATCTTGTATGAAATCTGTATTATGTTCATTATGACACGTGGTTACGCCGAAAATGTTTGACCTTCTCATTGACATTGTGAAATAGATGATAACGTTGAATGTCAGCGAGTCTATATTGGCCCCTACCACAAGAACCCCCCTCACTCAATGCGTCATCAAAGTTCATTGCTGTTGCCTCTTATGTTGAGACTCACGCCCGTATTAGAAAACATAAAATTTAAATATAGTACAGAAGTTATTATTTTACTTTTAATGTAATGATACGTTTTGACCTCGAATTTGTGCAATTAAAATACATTCTTAATATATAATATAAATAAAGAAATATTTAGTACCTGATGAAATTTTCAACTGAAATTACTATAGTTTAAGACATCGTGGGTAAATTTTAGTCCCTGTTTACTTGAGTAGGTATATTTCGAAACTCCTCGTGATTAAATAAACATTGATAAGTCTTAAGTAGGCTAGCTGCCGTAACCGTTTTCTGAGCCAAATATTATCAATAGCAAACCTTGCGAATTCTTATCAAAATATTTTTTCGCAACAACTGAGAAATAGGTCATTTTATTTTGGTTACATGTTAAGCATGGTAGACGTCACGTCTGCCTACGCCCAATATATTTTTCGCACAAAAATTAAACGATACGAAGGCTAAAACTAAACAAGCGACGTGAATCACCGCCGTCGGGAAATGTAGAATTAGCAATCACAATGTCGTTGACATTTTGCGTTTTTCCATAAATATTGTATGACCAATGGCGTTTAGTCGAAATAGTTTAAAAATAAAACGGAGCGATATAAATAACCATGCAATAAAAAAGGGAGCCTTATATAAAAAATCCTTTGATTTAGCACTTTTTACTTAGGTCCGTGAAGCAAAAATGTTCTAAGCAAATTCTAAACCCTACAAGGCTATGCATATTACAACCCGCATCTTAAATTCTGTTTGAAACTATCTGTCGTATGGGAAGGGTCAGTAAGGCCTATTCATTTAATGTCACGCTTCGTTATTTCTTCAGACTAAGTTCTTTTGATAAGCATTCATTGAAATAGAAGCCCTTTTTACTACATAAGGAACCGGTATAGTCCTTCTATTGTGAGCTTAGGAACAGAAACTAACTCTTTTCTAAAATAGCCTTGAAATTTTATTCTGCTAGGATTTGCAACGGTCAAACCGATGATTAAAGACCAAATGTACAGTTTCCTATTTGTTTATTTTTAATTTAATATTCAATCTTGTGTTGAGATAAAACTTCTTTCGTTGCAGGTTGTGTATAGGGATTGTAGTGGCTTATTGCAAGCTCACGATCGTCTCGATGGACATCCGCACGTCAATCCTATCCACGAAGTGCTGGTGGGTGACAAGAGAGTCTACCTAATTTTCCCCCGGTCGCACTCTGACCTACACTCTTATGTAAGGGCAAGGAAAAGATTGAGGGAGCACGAAGCAAGGCGGCTCTTCAGACAAATGGCGGAAACCGTAGCAGCGTGTCACGAACAAGGCATCGTTTTAAGAGATCTTAAGCTGAGAAAATTCGTCTTCGCCGACCCTCAGAGGTAAGGTTAATTTAATATTTATAATGTAATAACGCAGGTAATTGCACAAACAATCAGCCTATTAAGAAATATTTCACAATAACAATTAATTTGAGGTTGCGAATTGTAAGCTGAACTTGTCGATTTTTGTGCAAATACATTTATGATAAATACAAGTAAAGGAAATTGTAATATAATGTACTTCAATATCCTATTTATCGATAGGCTAGATGATTTCCCAACTGTATGTAATGTTTTCGCAAGTTTGATTTAATGTACAGAAATCTTGTTTAGGTTTAGTCGCAATCGTTTGAAACAGTTGATCGTGACGTCTAAGTAAAACTTTGCCAACGTCTTATATTCGAAATCTTTAATATATGTTGGGGAATTACTATTATTTAAACAGAGTCCCCTCGATAAAAAATCTATACAAAGGTTAAGATGATACATGACCCTGTCATCAAATCAATCGATAACTTCCTTTCCGCCCACTAGAGATGACTCGTGAGAAACAACATTTAAAAGAACAAAAAACTATCAACGGAGAACGGAAACGTGTGGTTTTTTAAGTAGCACGTCATTTCCTTTTTTACTCGATAGCACCTTGTACGAATGGCGATAAACTGTTATCAAAACGGTAAAACAATTAAACTGATAAAAATTTACATTAAGATGTTGGGTTCGTTGTCAATGTATTTTTACATTCGAAGTGAATATCTTAAATAATTTAAAAGAGGGCAAATACAGTATGGACGTTACAAAACATTAGGCAACAATATTAATTACGAGTAGCCGGCAGCAACCGGCGGATTTTCGAACTTTTGAAACGTTATCTGGCCTCCATTGTTGCGAATATCTCCGGCAATGCTAGGCTCAAGGCGAACGGTGTCATTGCTGCGTACAATACGGCGCATTCGGGTCAAGGGTGAGCGCTATGCGCCGGCGCAGCCACTCTTATACCGGCCCCTATGTGCAAGCAAACACTATGCGGGTACCTGCCTTCCCTTATGCGATCACCTGATCGTAACCCCTATATTTTATGCACCCTTTCACGGTGTAATCATGTATCACAAGACCACATTCCTATAGGTTTTAAAATTCCACTATTCACCTGTCCCACATACCTTAATTCAACCCTTGCTTTGTTAATGTAATAAGATTTCTTTCAAATAGAAGACGTTATTAAATCTATATTGAAAACGTTTTAAGAAGTTGATAGAAACGTATTGGAAAAAGTATAAAAAAACAATAAACTGGCGTCGTCTTGTTGGGAGCAACAAACGCCTTATTACGCATGAGGTTATCTGACTCCTAACTGAGATATTTCATTACGCCTACACAAAATTGGGGGTGACCGAAAAGTTTTCATTATCTTAAACAGTTTTCGTACATTGTCCCTTGCGACTTGAGGGTTCGAAATTCGAATAGATCAGACGAGCCATGAATGAATTTGTCTCTGACTATGACTACGAAGGCTGGTAAAATGATCAATTTAATATGTTTTCACGCTAGAACAAACTTAGCTATCCAAAGCTTAGCTTTGGGAACAGAAACATTATTCGAATTCAAAAACTTTGACGTAATAACAGAGCCGCAGTCCGCGGAGTACCGCATCTCGACTTAAGGAAGCCTTTATAAAGTTTCAATTCAAAGCCCGAATGTTTGTACTTTCCTCCTATACAAAGTAATAGTATATTTTTGACCGTTAGGCAGATGCTTCTTAATTTCGCCATGACCAAAGGATGCGGATGTGATTTTTTGTTTTAAGAGATTAATAGCAGGTAGCCAGCTGAAACGATACGTTTGACCCGAACTCGCAAATGTCAGACTTTCCCAGAGAATGTCCAGTTATTCAGCCGGTCTGATATTAGCATACTGACAACTGACCTTGTTTGGCCCTAATAAATTCTAATGATTATGCACGCGTAGTGGTCAAGATTATTTAAATGTTCTCTGCCATCGTGAGAATGGACTTAAGGAGGTGCAACACGATCAAGTGCCCGCCCTTTCTCACGTTTTGTATAAAGTCACCCCTGATTACAAATTCTTGTCATCCGGTGGCGCCGAGTTTTCTCGCGATCTTCTCTCAAAGGTAAATAAGAATATTAATATTGATTCCGAGCGCTTCAAGGCGCTTTGAAGTGGAATTTCTGTCCTCTCGTAGTTTTCTTTATCCTTTGAGACGTAACGTTGTTTTTCCTTAATGAAGAAAAGATCTCATTTCCAGTGCTTTTGTTGTAGGCATTAGTTTTGAAAGGAACTTATTTCCAATAGGCTTAATTATACTACTTAGGCAAAGCATATTCAAACAATTACCGTTTATCATAATTTAGAGAAATCTTTGTTAGTATCCTCGCGTGGGCCTTGTAGGTCGAAGTAAACTGCAAAGTCTACTTCCTTTTAAACCTCTAATAAACAGGTACATTCATGACCTGTAATAAATTACCGAATACATCCTATAGTTCTGTCCAAAAGTAACTACATCCTTATAATACAATTGCGAATTCTTAACGAAAGCCGGATGTTTCTTTCTAAACTACATTTATTGAATGTGTAATCCTTAATTTTGTCAACAATGACCGGAAAACGGAAATACATTCACGTGACACAAACATCCATTGTTGATATTGCATTTTTAATTATCTATGCTAGTTTTTACAAAATAAATTTTGCTCTACGCCAGACCGTGAGGAGCCCGAATTTGTAGTTTTATAGATACAGTGCCTTTGTAAATAGGTGCAGGTATAAAATCGTCTGCAAAGCATTGTTCACATCCAACCCACCTACGTCAAAATAATAATTCTGAAATGAATATCGCAGGTAAAAGGTATTTTTTGCGTAACATGTAATACAGAAGCCGCATCGGCTTGCTATTACAAGCAATGACAATATTACAACGGCTTTGAATAACACAGGCCGATGAGGCGCTACGCTAACTACGATATCATATTTCGCACATTGCTGACGCGCAGTCTAACAATGTCAAAACTAAGGAATTTATTCTAATGTACATACAGTTGCTAAGTTCGACACTAACGGGACGGAGTATTTATGTGTTCACTGCGCTGGCAATCGCTAGCGGATGTGCCAAATTAGTCTTCGATAGACCCGGCAGACGCCGCCGCGTCGCATTCCGGCCCGGCCACCGCCTGACACTACATTTACATCTGAACAAGGGCCTTGTTTGAATCCATTTAATTTTAGATCTCGCCAGCCATCCTGTAATTTTAAACATGCAACTCAAAATTCCGATAAGCCGGTAGCTTGCGCCTATAACCAAGATTTTAAAACTGTTTGGAAACCAAGTGGCTTGCATATCGAAGTTTGTGTTGAAACTGTAATTAGATTAGATATATCGATTATTCGTAATATACGCAGTTGCTTTTGGCACTCGTAGTTCGTATGTAGTTGGAATGTTTTTTATATCTTTTACTAATTTAACTAATTATTCAATGGTATTGAGGGTTGGTTCAAATGACTTGATACAGTCAGACCGGAATTCGGTGTCTATTAAGTTCTTTTTGGGGCGTTTGTTATGGCCTCGGTCGAGTTGTGGCTGCAGAGGTCGCGCAACTGTGCCAATGTCGCTGACGCCGACGCTGCGCCCGCGCCGCCTCGCTCGTGCGGAACCGACCGAGTGAACTCATTTAAAAATGATGTATTCACTTCATCGAAACAACATTTTTGTTTAAAAATACAGGACACCTACGCCTCTCTGAGTCTGTATGATTCCTCAGGACGACGTGTAACTATTCGTCATGACTATAATGTTCGCACCTTTTTTGGTGGTACGAAATCACCGGACGCGCTACCGGATATGGACATAGTGCATTGCTCTCGGACAAACATTACACTCACTTATTACTCAGGACACAATGTGGACGTCATTCAAAGAAACGATTCGCCGGAAATAGTCATAACACTGACAGAAAATAAATCGGATTAAAAAAAATAGAATGTTCTAACGGACATGTTGTAGGCAAGTTTTTGTCAGTGTTTCTGGAGAGTTCCGGTCGATTCCTATATAACAGTAAAACAAGAGTCAGACCACTTGTTAAATAAAAACGATTTCACAATTCGTATATTTAGGTGTCAGGCTCGCAGCTGAGAAAACGCACGACTAACTATTAAATCGATCTGGTTGCGTAAAACAAAGGTCTGTGAAACCTTGTGCAAGCAGCTCTCGGCGCGCCCGCTCCGACATATCTGCAGATTTGCGTAACCGCGCACTTATCCGCCGATACACAGGCTGTGTGTTGTGACACGCTCCGCTTGCCTACACCGATACCGCTGCAATACTTCATACCCACCCAAAACTAAAGCAATTGCCTAACTGTTTGTCAAGAGTTGCTAATAAGTTATGTGTCAAGCTTTGTTAGAGAATTAAAGCGAATTCTAAGCCATGGAAAACCTCAGTCGTGTCATGATACTCACAATGTGACTCAGAGTTCGTGACTTACGAGGAGGCAGTGGGTATGAACTGAGTTAACCTTAGATATAGCACCATAAGGCTCTACATAGAGAATTAGCAAAAGTTTTACAGCGAGTGGGCACACGCGACCACATCCCTAAACGATGGGTGAATTTATTTAGCCCTTAGCAAAAAAACTTGCACGTGGCAGCTATTATTCTTAGGGCAAGCTCACTTATAATTGTTCCCCTTGATAATGTCTCGCAAGAGCGCTCGCAAGGAACGAGACAGAGGCGAAGATGGAACCAGTGACCGCTTAGACACGCGTATTCCATTCCGTGAGCCTTATTTCCATTTTACGCCGTTCCGTCTCGTTCCATATGACTAGTATTTATAAGGCACGAAGCTCAGTGATGCTATAATTAAAGCTCCCGAATAACAAACCTTGGATGTTTGTTCAATTGGTGGCGATCGTAGCTCGAAGATGTACATCACAGGCTTATCCGTCGCTGGGTCAGTGACCGGTTACCCAGCGTATCGAAAACCATTCCCATAACGAGTTGATTCCTTTCCCAGCTCAAAGATCATTTCACTTACCTCATTACCTACATCAGTATTGTTATCATACTAAATGATATTTCATAAGTTGATAAGCTGTCTATCCAAATTACAGAAATAAAGAGTTAACCATATACCCTTGTTATCGCCACGACAGTGGGTGTATTGAACCCTGTTGCTAAGCCCTAAATTACCAAACTGCTCCAGAGTTACGCAGCGCTTTTTCCTTTGAAACGAATGTTATTTATTTCTGTGGTCCGATCGTAAAAATAACACCCAAGGCATACAGGAACAATGTAGCCATGAATCAGACTATGACATTGTAATGATGCATGCACGGGGAATGAGTCTGCCTTGATGACGTCACCAAGAGGGAAGTTTGGAGCCGAAGGGACAACAAAAGAGGGTACGGAATGAATCATAGAACATTCTATCGATACAACCCTCGTTCTATTTATGTAACACTTAAGTGTTTATACCTTTTTTTCAAAGCCGGTCCCTCACTTCTTAAATAGATTATTATTTATAGAATCTTACGTAAGCTAACAACTATGAAATAAGCTTAAAATAATGTTTCATGATTGCTCTAAAACTGAATTGAATATTATTTTATTTTTGCAGATTTTTCATTCCAAGTTATTATTGGACATATAAAAACATACGACTAACTAAAGTCACAAGCCACAATAAATTATTTGTCCAGCTTCGTATAACCCAAGTAAAACATTAAAATATATAATATAGAACGTTGCCCTTATGAACATAGTATTTATGTACACACAAAAACAACAAAAATATGCAACAGACTTCAACGGAACGCTCGCTGAGATTTCATGGAAGCGAAAATGATCTTACTGTGCGGTTAAAGGATTTATGTCCGTATGCACACGTATTACGGGCGAATGACCTGGCTACCTGTTTAGAGGTTTTTTGTTTTAATTTGAAACTTACAAAAAATTCGAAGACGGGCTCATGAAGAGTAGCTTCTGTTTTATTTTTGTTCCCTACGTCATATTTGGCAGTTTCAGCTCAATTTTGTATATTGGATTAAATACTTGCGGAGGCGGATTACGTTTTGTCCTTATTTACTGAATTTATCATTGCGTTTGCCCGCCACCTACAAGATATTATGTTTAGTGCGCTGTATTTTTGCGGAGGTGGGGATACAATTTCGGGACTCTTTTGTAAATTGTTCTTTGAAATTGAACGTCCCACGCAACTACGAAACCGTACTGTCAGAAGACAATATATATTATGCTATTGAATCATTTATCAAATTTATAGCTATGATATTACGCAGATTATAATTGTACATTAAACAGTACTTTTTGTTTATAAACGCGTTTAAAGTCGCTTGCATGAATTTCAATCAAGTGCACACTTGGCGTCCGAGCAAAAAGCCAACAAACCGGTCTGCGAAAGGCCAGAATTACGATTAGCCTCCAATCTGCAGTTGAGACGCGTATGTCACTAAAATACCGTCTGCCGCCGTGCATTGTCTCTTTCTTATTTGCATATCTTTTATTGCTAAAGGGCTGGTTATGACGACGTGACTCAAATAGATAAAACAGTGGCCTTGCCCTATTAATATTTCATCTTTGTTACTTTACCTTAGTCGCAATCAATCTCAATGCATCAAGTATTAGTCCTGTAAATTCTGGTGATTAAATAACGAAATCTCTAGCATTTAACTGCGTAATGTTTAACGTATTGATTGCGATCAAAAGATAGCTAGCAGATAGAAGTGCAAGTCGTGAACCCTGTTTCAATGCTCGCATTGTTCTCGATGTAAGCAGAAGTATTACTTATACAATATACATTCCTGGAAATTGACCCTCTAACTCCTACTAAAGTTATGCTTTCTTTAAGCTTGTCATGTTTGAATTTATATTTTTATTTGCTGTCAAATGAAAATGATAGTTTCCTCCAAAGACTTCCGTTGATTAAAGTGACATGGAATTCTCGATGAGTAATTACAACTAACAATATATTTTAATCAATACATTCGAGTCACGGCTGTGTGTCCTATAAAGAGTTTCCTGTTTGTCTAAGCACAATTGACTTTTAAAATCAGCTCACCTCGATAATGAACTTACTGCCACCATTTCCAACTGCCCACAACTATTTACATATTGTTATTTCCTTTGTTCGAAATACGTTCGAATATATTTGAATTGTGAGTCGAGCGTTTTTCCATCAACCTACATCAGTTCTATGAATTTCCATCAAAACAGTTCAAGCTAATGGGTGACAAGATATGATTAACATATTTAAATGAATTACATCATTATTCATACAGACGATGTTTATCTTTCTCGCGCTTAAATCGTATCAATATTATCGTTTCCTTGTATGACGTATTTCCTGTAGAATTTCCATTGAATTCCCAGTAATCAAAGCTGGGGATTTGTAAATATCAGAGACGTACAATGGAAATTACCAGAGATAACTGGACTAATGATCTATAATATTAGCTGTATCAGACAAATTAGCTCTAATTGCTGGCAAAAATATGTTTAACCTTATAGTTATTCATACGTATCAGGATATGTATTAATAAAGTATTATTTTATTTTAAAGCTTTTAAATGTTTTTACCTTTATATTTTAAAACAAAGCCGAGTAAAATGACAACAGAGTTGGATAAATACTATTTTAAGACTTATATGAATTTTATTACATAACTAAATTCAATATATTATTGGCATATTAATGAAAATTATTGCCCTCTATATGTAATTGCGTAGGCGCATCCTAATCTCTGACGTAATAAGGTTCACGGTCAACTGCAGGAAGTGACGTATACGCGTTCAGTGTCATCTCGGCATAGAATAAATTCACAGCAAAAGTTAAACATCGATTATCTTCATTTACATTCAAAGGACGATCTTGAGTTACTGCACTAAATTATCCACTACGTTATTACTAGTTTGATTACTTCAGATTAAAATATAGCCGATATGCATCCATAATTGCAGTTTTGCTAACAAAATTGTACCTCTATATCCTAGCAACCGGTTTGCATCCAGACTAGTTTTACGGCCGAGTAATATTTTCATCTGTCCAATAAAAATTTCGTATACGATTTTGAACCTTAAAGTTACTTAGACCAAGTTTAAATTTCTATACTAGTTCAGTTCAGCAATGAACGCAGCACCAATTAGCAAGCGAAGGTTCCTTTGAATTACTAGCTCAAAGAGTTGTAATTAATAATAATACAAATTTTAAATATTAATTTAAGGCAGTTTGAAAATACAAAAGATGGAATGGAAGGGCGACAGTCGACTAACAAAAACCGCGAATCAATCAGTCGCAATGACATTGAAATTCGTTCGGTTGCGAAATATTCTTTTCGTGGTTTTGGCCTCGCGTTCGAGATTGAAGAATACGTATAATAAATATGAGAACGCAAGCGACCTTTCTTGGCGGTCACGCGTTGTGTAATCGACCGCGACAAACAATACAATGTCTACATGATCTCAACATTTTAATTATATCAAATTAATTTGGTCTAATTCAATATTTAAAAAAATGCTATTAGCATTTTAATTGACAACACAGCTTCGATAAAAAATTAAAAATGCAAAACCTGTAACGAATTGCGATGTTTCGGCAAAAACGAAAGTTCAATTCGGTGATAAAGGCAATTTATATCGTGTTAATACACTTTTAACCTTAAATTGTTCTATTAAGGTGTAAAGTAGCTTGTGTGTCCGTGATGCGGTCGTGTCATTGCCGATGTTGATGATCTCTTGATGAAGTCACCGTCGCTTGCGCACGGAACAATACAAGATCATCACAACTATTCGAACATTCCTCCCTTGTTTTTCTTGTAACAATCGGTATTGTTTATACATATTTTTACAATTTGCGCAGTTGTTCTGATGATGTCATTTAACGTAAAATAAAAATGAATATCAGTTTTATAAATTTGGATCATTCAATAAATATAGATAATATTAAGATCGAAGGGTTTCA